AGGAAGCAACTACAGAAAAGCTTTTATTTGTTCAAAGTAACCAGTGCTATTGGGATGCAACCCTCCCCAATTCCCCAATACTACTTTCAAAACAAACATATCAAACTTGAGTTTTCCATTAGAATGCTGTTCTCAATGCAAACAATTATTGAGCTTCATCTTCTGGACAAGAATGCCAAGTTAGTCTCTCTTCATAAAAAGCAGTTACAATTTGAGGACACTTCATATTTGCTTCTTTTGCCAGTACCAAGTCTGCCTCATCTGAATCTTTCCATTTCATGAGAAACATCAACTCTCCACTGCTGTCTGTGGCACCAATTATTCGTTCAGGATCAAGACCTCTGGCAAAGCCTCTTGGTTTATCAGCAGCATCTCTCTTCTTTGATTTGCTATCATCAGACTCACTGTCAGATAAAGATTTTCTCTTTGTACCATCTTTCTCTTTACCAGCTTTTTGAGAATTAAGAAATGCTTCAATTAACTCTGGACAATCTAAATTTTCTTCTGGTTCCCATGTATTGTCAGCATCTGTAAATCCCTTCCACTTCAAGAAATATTCCACCTTCCCATTCACTACGCGTCGGTCCAGTACTTTTTCCACCACAAATTCTTCAGGCTCTGCCTCTTCAACTTTTTTACTCTTTCCATTCTGTTTCTTACCCATTTTTTGCAATGTAGTTTTATTGGAGGCCATTTTTTATTGCAGACTTGAAGAGTTCACCGCTCCGAGCTGCTCCGGGTCGCGGGTCTGCGGCGTCTCCGGCCCTACGCGCCTCAAGCTCCAGCCACATCCGAGGGGGGAGGGGGCTATTTGTTTTCTTTTTGATAAAAAGCCACTCTAACTGGGGTGAGATGATGCCTCATAGTGATTTTGATTTGATGATTAGTGATGTTGAGGATTTAAAAACTACACTTGCTGGCCATTAGTATCTTTTTTTTTTTTTTTAAAGAGAGATTTTTGCTATGGGGCACATCTGCTTGCCAGAGAGATAGAAAGTTAGAAATCATCCCCTGGGGAGATGGCCATGCCACAATCCCTTCTCCATTCTCCTCTCAAGATTTTGGGCACGTATGCACACATACCTGGCGTGAGTTTTAAGCCACTGGGTCTGGGACTCAGACCATGCTCAACTGCGTGGGAGTCCAGGGACATAACCATTATGCCATCTGCTGGTCTTGCCATTTGTATCTTTTGAGAACTATCAAGTTTAAGCATTGGCCCATTTAAAAATTTGGACTATTTGTGTTTTGGCGGAGTTCCTGGTGAAATTTGTTTATTAATTCCTTGTCGAATATATAGTTTGGAAACATTTATCCCCATTCTGTAGGTTGTCTGCACTCTGTTGACTGTTTACTTTCCTATGCAAAAGATTTTGTTTGATGTAATCCTGTTTGTCTATTTTTGCCTTTGAAGACAGTGCTTTTGAGCTCTTCTCCAAAAACTCTTTGCCTGAACTGATGTCTTGAAGTGTTTTTGCTCAGTTTTCTTCATGTAGTTTCATAGTTTTTAATCTTATATTTAAGTCTTTGATCAGTTTTGAGTTGATTATCACATATAGCAATGCATATGGATATCGAATTTTCCCAGTATTATTTATTTAAGATACTGTCATTTCTCCAATGAATGTTCTTGGCATCTCTGTAGAAAATCAGTTGGCTATTATACATAGACTTATTTGGGGATTCTTTATTCTGTTCCATTGGTCTACATGTCTGTTTTTATACCAGCACCATGCTATTTTGATTATCATAGCATTGTAGTGTATTCTGAAGTTAGTATGATGCCTCCAGCTTTGTTCTTTTTTGTTTAGGATTGCTTTGGTTATTTGAGGTCTTTTGTGATGCCATAAAATTTTATAATTGCATTTTCTATTTCTGTGTTTCTTTTATGCCTGTTGTTATATTGGCTGTTTGATTGCAAATTTGATTCATCCAGTTCCTTTCCTTCTTCTTAATGAATCAAGCTAATCTATTTCTGTGAAGAATGCTTCGGGTATATTGATGGAGAATGCACTGAGTATGTAGATTGGTTTGGGAGTATAAATCTCCCTTTTTTGTTGTTTTACAAAGTATTCCATTTCCTATAATCCTCTATAGCACGAAGTCTGTCTTGAAATAGAGTTTCAGTTTTAAATTTCAAATCCTCAGAATGTTTCAACACCATTCAGTACTATTCCTATCCCTGGCATTCACTTGTAAGTTGGAGTCTGTGAAGTTCTATTTCTGTTGCTATTGTCTGAATGGCCCCATGTTGGACACATACTCTGCAAAGCAACAGTTCTGGGAGGTGGAACCTAATAAGAGGTGATTGATTAGACTGTGAGGTCTCTACCCTCATGAACGAATTAAAGCCATTATCATGAGAATGGGTTCATCATTGTGAAAGTGGCTTCCTTATAAAATGACAAATTTGGCTCTCTTTTGT